CTTCCCTTCTTCTTTTTTATCCCTTCACGATTGGCTCATCCTTCCCTTTCAGAGCGTCCAGCTCATCACGCCACAAAGCGCCTCCATTCTCTCCTGAGAGGAGGCTGCGAGTCCTGCGCTGTAACCAGATCAGCTCTGGAACAGAAGAGTGTGTCATCTCCACAGAGGAGCAGGAAGTCTCGTGCAAAAAAGGCAGATCTCAGTCTCTGTGTCTCTCTTAGTCACATTTACACACCAGAGGGCATGAGTACTCATACACAAAATGTTTGAATATGTTGGGAAAACAGCATCACGTTTGACGCTTGGGTATTTTTTACAGCTTGCTTGGAGATTTACACTGATGTGATTTTGTTCTTTAAAAGATGAAGTGGTTAATTTTCTTTCCTTTTCTATATTTGGAAGAAAAGCAAAGAAATAGACCTGTGTAGTTTATTCCTCTGAACATTTAGACCTCCATGTTTTCTAAAACCCAACTGAAGTCACATTATTGACTGAGTTTTGAACAAAGTCAGACATATTGCTTCATTTAATGAACAAAGTCACGGCAGTTAATCTGATTACATTCATACTTGTTTGGTATCCTTTTTCATTGTACATAGAAGACCATTATTAGGTGTGCGTTTGTGTGTGCGCACGTGTGTGTGTGTGTGTGTACATATGGTTGTATGCTCTTCGTGGGCATGGAGGAAGGCGTGGTAGGTTTTAGGTTAGGGAATGTTTATGATATTATCTGGGTTTTTTTTAGCTCTTAATTATATTTTGTAATGATTAATTGTGTATCCTATTTTTTCTATCATTTGTGTGTTTACCTGCCCAGGTACTACAGATAAATTAACTAGAAAATTAGCTAAATCTGGTTCAATGCATCGCCTCTCATTGATTGAGTTTAACAATAAACTAAATTAAAATAATTCCACTTACACCTTACAGCAGATATAAATCAACAGAAAACTACAATTTACTCCTGTTGAAACTGCATTTGATGATAAAAATAGTCACCATCAGTTTTTAGCATTAAAGGCATTTCGGTTAAAAAAGAGAACACTGTACATTAAAATTAGTAAATCTTAAAAATGGAAATTATTTACAGACTATAAACTTGAGTTTTCTATTATCTTTCTATGGTATTTGTTGATAGCAAAATACACTCCTTTATCAATAGTCGCATCATTTTGGTCGTTGTTTTTTTTTTTTATAGAGAGATGTTTGTCTTGCCATTTAAAACCACAAGCTTTAAAATGGATGTTTTGTAATCATAACATTTATAAAAACTTGAAAATGGCATACAATTTTCAATACATGCACACATAAATATGTCCTTATCGTTCACTGACCTTCAGGAGGAGAAACATTCTCACCACAATATTCAGTCAGACTCCAGGTTTGGATCAGTTGCAGTTACATTTCTGGTTTCTCAGTTCAGGGCCAGGTTCCTGGAGAGCTATTACAAAGTGAGTGTGGTTACAGCCAGGAATGAAAAAAAAAAAAACCCAACAACATCCATATCCATATTGCACTACAATCCCACAGAAATAATTGCAACTACAGCAGCTTTTCCAAAGACATAGACTGATTGTTACCTTAAATGTCTGTTCTAGGTGAAACAGGGGTCAGAACTTTCATACCTGGAAAGAATGCATTTCGTAAACAAAGGCCGGACACTGCAGAGGAACTTATGTGGAAGTGTATACATTAAGCGAACGTGATTGAACTAGTTTGGGATTTACATATCCCTTCTCTCATTAGCAGCATTGAGTGAGTGGATATTGAATAACAAACATGCTGAGAGTGGGTTTGGAAAGCTCAAAGCGAGCAGGCTGGATTCCTGCTGACTGTAAGGCCTAAACTTAAAGCAGCAAAGGCAGACTCACTGAACCCTGATGTTAGCTTTGGACCCGTGGTTCCTTCCTGTTCATGCAAATTCTTCTACAAAAATGTGTCAGTAGTACTAAAATGAATTTTGCTGAGACTCGGTGGTTGGAAATGCAGATTTAGATCAAGGAAGTATACTTTGAATTAACTGAATTGAAATCTAAAAATATTGATTTAACGAATAGTTTTAACAAACAAGAAAACATCTCTGAGTTAAAAGCATATACAGATCAACAATGGAATTTGCACAGTAGCTGAAATCTTATTTGCATGTCCATGTATTTGTTCAAAAAGAAAAGTTTACAGAGATGGTGATATTTGGTGGCCATATTTGGAGTTTAGAAATGAAGCAGAATGATTATTTGGTTTGTCCTGAAAATGTGTTTTGCACAGTGAAGGAAAATCCCCTTTTTGTGTTGAACACATGCACCATTGTAGAGATATGCTGCCATCTGCTGGACAAAAACATTACGGCTCTCCAAATCAGGATTTTAAAGAAGTTGTTCTCTAATCGACAAATTCTTGTTCATATTTGTGTTTAAACTTTTGGGCTACTTCATCTGTTTAAGGTTAAATAGAGTTGAGCGTTGCTGCATGATGTTTAAAATCAGGAAAGTTTCCATGCATTTCCATTGAACTGATCGTACCTACAAATGTTTTTCTATTGTCCATGTGCTGTTGTTAAGATCCATACTTTTCCCAATACAATTAAAAGAAAGTGTATGTAAATGTTTAGCACAGACTCTGACAAACAACATGACATGTCTGACATGGTTATAAACAAGTACGTGTGTATTTGTGAATTAGAATGTGTATTGAGGATGTATGTCTGTGTTCTTTGTTTTTTACATTGATTGTGCTGACGGAGAACCTGTAACACGATCAAAATCTCTAATGTTAGATTGTGTTATTGTAACTACGGGCTCCAGGTGGTGCTTTTGTTTCTTTGTGTGTGTGTGTGTGTGTGTGTGTGTGTGTGTGTGTGTGTGTGTGTGTGTGTGTGTGTGTGTGTGTGTATTGTTTTTTTGTATATCTGTTTCTGGGGGTTGTTTTCTGTTTCTATACATGTGTTTTTTTTATTTCTGTAATTTCTGAAAATTATATTTTCAACTTGTTTCTTTTTGTTCATTCATTTAGATGTCTTGTAAATCTTGTCAAATCAAATTAAATGTGATCACAAGTCTAATACAAACCAGATAACACAAACATCTAAGTTCCACCACATGTGTTTTCTGTTGTGTAACATGTCAAAGTGTCTTTATACTGTATGTCTATCAAATACTTATCATTTAGCTCTATTTAAACTAGTTGACTTACCACAGATTTGCCAATGGCATATGATTATTTAAAACGTATTTCCCAGGGATTAGTTATATTATGCTGCTATATTATAAATTGGCAGGAAGATAAAAGGGCTGGTCCAAAATGTTGAAGGGAAATATTAAAGCAAAAAGATATTAAATGGACTTGAGCTTGTATGGTGCTTTTCTAGTCTTCTGACTTCTCAAAGCGCATGTCACAACATTCACGCACTGATGGCAGAGGTCGCTTTGTAAAGTGACCATCATAAGTAACTTATCCCATAAATACACATGCATACACCGCTGACGTATCGGACATGTGGCTGCAGCTGGGGATCGAACCCCCGACCTTCCGGTTGAGAGAGGACCAACTCCACCAACTGAGACAAAGCGGCCCCATTAGCAGTCATAGTTACAAAAGTTTTAGGACTGTTACTTTTTGTTTTACGGGCCAAGTCTTCAAAAAAACAATTAATTAGTTTTATTTATTTCTCAATTAAAATTCACGCTGCATTCACTGCACATCGACGGTTTTTGATGCTTAAAGTGATGAAAATAATCATTCATTTGAAGCTTTTTGTCCTGCTACATTTACCTGTGTTCATGTTCCTCACCACTAGATGGTGCTCTTGCAACTTTACAATGTGCACCGGCTGAGGTGGAATTTCTACAGCATTTCTCCTTAGCAGCAGTTTTTTTAATGTCCCACTTAGCCTGCCATAGATTTTGCACAAACTATTTTTTAGTTTATCTGTGAAATGACTAAACCAATCTCAGCCATCATCATTTTGTTGACATGTCATGTTTTGATAAATGGCCCCTCATTTTCAGTGCAGTCAGCAAGTACATGAGATGTACAAGTCTCTTTCCCTCTGTGGCACATTTGGAGTTGATGGTGCGAGGACGGAGCAGGCCGAGTGTGAGAAGGCATCAGCTCATTAGCCGTGTGGGTCCGGCAGAGCGGTTTCTCCCTCCCAGGAGAGCAGCTCAGACTTCTGGGAAACTCACCAGCTCGCCAACAGCTGTGGCTCTACATGAACCTGATGAAAAGTCTCCCTCTCTCTCTCTCTCTGACTACTTCCTTCATCTTCTTCAGTCTGTCCCGCAGCGGATCTCCATCCGTCTGTACTCACATCAGGTTTAACTGAATGAAAGGAGTCAGATCAAGAGATGGCTGTTAAACTTTCTAGAGTGGATGTTTGTCAGAATGTGTGTAACTTTGGCTGTGTGTGTGTGTGTGTGTGTGTGTGTGTGTGTGTGTGTGTGTGTGTGAGAGAGAGAGAGAGAGAGAGAAAGGGGGTTCAGCTTTGCCTCTGCCTGAACTTTTGACCAATACTTAGCGAAGGATTTTGTTTTGACTGAAATATGAACAACTGCAGCTAGTCTGATGTGGCAGCTCTGGATCTCTGGAGTCCTGCTGTCGATACAAAATGTGATATAGTACAGATTTAGATGATTTCATTGCATCTAAATCTACAAAGCTCATCAAATTGAGTTTGTGTGAAGAATTCACAATTTTGATGGCTCTATTGGAGATTTTAATGATCATAAATACGGCCTGCAGAAAGCTTTATGGCAAAGACACACACAGCTGCATCTGCATTACATCTGATTTTATGCTCCCAACTAACGTAATGACAGAATATCCATCTGTTAACAGGTTCCTTCCAAAATGCAAACTGTGAGCTTGGTTACATGCAGGAACCACCTACATATGAGTGAGTGATGCAGCTACTGGAGCATTAGATTCAGCTGCAGAGATTCATGGAAACCAAGGAAATTGCAAAAGTTTGGAATTGATTGAACACACGGACATAAGACACACACTGTCAGAATCATTTTATAGCAACAATATTAACCACAATGCAAACAAAATAAATACTGTAGATCTACAGCTTATATTGCTGGTTACAAATCAGAGAAGCACAAGAGATGAAAATATTGAGTTGTGGGATGACTGAGCTCATCTAACTGAAGTATACATCAAGTTCGTGATCAAGTAGTAGTCAATAGATGAAAAACAAGTTGATGGTGAATCCAAATCAGGTTATATCCAAAAGTAAATGAGCTTACACACAGTGTAAACATGGCAAAATACTTATTACAGCAAACATGCACACAAGAAAATACATCTGAAAACACCATTCCACCACTGTCTTTGTTGTTCTTGCAAACCGGGTCAAAGGTCGTGTTCAAAGCCTTTTCTGGGTGGACAGGTTGAGGCTGAGCCACAGATATGTAGACGATTATCCAAAGATGGCCACTAACTGGACAAGAGGATTCTACTTTTGAAGGGTGGAGGGCTAAGCTGTAGCTCCACACAGTCTTACAGTAGAAGAGATATCTTGGCTGTCCTCTGATCGTCCTGTCATCATAAAAGGCCAAGTCTGTCAGGGCAAAAACAAAAGGTTCAATGGAAAGGAAAGCAACACATCCAGCACATAACGAAACCGTTATATTCAAGTTTATGAACAGCTAGAGGTCTTTCAATATACTGAGATATTTAGGCTTAACACTTTGATTGCGTAGGTGAAAAGACTCAATTTTTACAAAGTTGTATCTGCTTACCAAGTTGACAGGGTGCGCAAATCGATTCTCGAAGCGTTCCTCCTGCAGTAGCTGTCTCAGGTGAGAGATGTAGCTCGAGGCGAGTCTCAGCGTGTCCAGTTTGGACAGTTTGGTGTCCGCAGGTACCCAAGGCAGGCTCGTTTTCAGTCTGGAAAAAGCCTTGCTCAGCACTCTCATGCGCGACCTCTCTCGGGCGTTGGCCGCGTTTCTCTGCGTTTGGCGCGCGTCCCTCTGGTGGTGCGCTTTGTTGGCGAGTTTGCGCTCAGGATGCTTCGTCCGACCCTCCACGGCGTCGCCCTCCAACTCCTCATCCGAATAGCGGTTGAGATTGTAGCAGGTTGTCTTGTGTTTTTTCCTCTCCAGAGTCCGTCGGTGACATGTCTCATAGTCCTCAGCATCACTCGCTGCAGAGCCGGTGGACATGGTGCGCCACCTGTGCCTCTGTCGCGCACACGAGTGGCTTTTTAACGACAGCAGTAAATGAAGTTCTAGATTCTAAGCGTGCGATTTGTTGGAAAACTGGACAAGTGAGCTAAACTGTTGACATATTAAAACTTCGATTACGGAATCCTACAAGTTATGTCTTCAGTGTTACAGCAACAACTTCCTGGGGTCAAGTCTGAAATTGCACCTCTCTCCAAATCTGAAGCATGCCCCCCTTGCTTTGCCGCCCCTCTAATTTAAGTGTCCAGGACTTGGCATGTGTACAGTTTTTTTCATAAACTCTCTCCTCCCCCTTTTCCCAAAGCCACCATGACCTCAGCCAGACCACAACTGTCTTCTTGTGTTTACCTTTGAAGACTTCATTTTCTCATCTGCAGCTTGATAATGAGACTAATCTGTGCATGTAATCGTGGTTAAATCAAGTGGGATGTATACATGATGAAATCATTAATTACTTGCAAGGATTGATTCCCTGAAACACAGACAATGCTCTCAAATGTTGCTCAAAATATGAGAATATAATCATAGACACAAGCTACTTCAGAAAACACACATTAATATTGAATAATTCTTTTGGTCGCACAGATGTGTTAAGTTGATAGAAATGTCTTGATGACCTTATCAAAAGTGCCTAATCCTCCACTGCTTTCACAGAGGGATTGAGTTTCTGCAGATGGAGCGGCCTTTCACACGCAGCCTGCCTGCACCAGCACCAGCTGTTATCGGTTCCCATGACATCTGGAGCGTTGGCATGGCAAGGGTGTGGCAGAAGCAAGAAAGGCACTATGTTACTTCCCACAGAAGCACATTATGTTTTTACAGAGCATTGTGGCCACTTTAGCTTTTGCTTTTCTATACTTTTCTGAGAGAACCGAAAGACAGAGATCAGACAGGGTAGAACACTTTTGTGAGGACTGAGATAAAAAGAAAAAAGTTTGGAATAAAACTGAGATTGCTCCGAGCCTCAGAGCTACTTGAGTGCAGTGTGTGTTTGCAGAGATACCGCACTGACAGAAAGCTTTCGGAGAAACAGTAAACAGAGAGAAAATCTGTTCAAGTAAACCAAAGACAAACACAAGGAGAAGAGTGTGTCAGAAAGTGCAAAACAAGCTTTGGATCCAAACTATAAGGGCGCTTTGAAGCGTGTGAGCACAGTATCTCTGGATAAATGGAAACTTCTGTGGTCTTACAGTTCTGACAAGAACCCCCCCTTTGCTTTCTCAACATATTCCCAGAAAATCCCAAGTCCCTGATAGCTATTACTCCACATAATATGTGTGAAATCAAGATTTTTTTTTTTTTATTATAAGAGCTAGACTCTGCCAAGAAATACCCAACTGCAGCTGAAATCCATGCTGGATTTGGGAAGCAAGTCATGCCAGGGAAAATGCATTCAAAACACTTCTGAATGCTGTACTGTACTTCAACATACCCTGTAAGGTTTAAGTTATTAGTTACTAATATGTTAAGTTTTAAAATGTATTATACCTTTGTGTTGCTTGATTATAATGATAAAATGGATTTCTGCAGCATCAAAATGCAAGTAACTGTATTTTATATCTGTATATCTGTATATCCAGCTCCTTTATGCCGTTTTCACAAGACCTGACATCAGCTGGACATTTGAGGGATTTTTTCACCGAGTTTATCCTTGAATGTGTCATGAATGACACATTCAATCCTGTGTCAGGATGAAATGTTAGGGTTGGAGCTTCAGGCCGGGTGCCATGTCCTCCCCTGTCACTGCATCCATCAGCAGACCCAATGGTCTGACTGACACACCTGAAGGCGCACACTAAGGGATACTGCGGCTGGATTTACTCTTCATTTCAGAAACTGTCATTTTCTTGTACATAGGAGGAGAAGGTAGTGGATTTGTGACATATATTTCAACCTGCTGCTTCGCTCATTGTCAACAGCAGAGCAAGCTGGGTTCAAATAAGAGCGATCATTTGTCATCCTTTAGAGGGAGCTCGAAACATTGTCCAAAACATGACTGTAATTGATGGTTACATGGTTGTAGTATTAGCCCTGGGAGTAATTAAATTCAGGCCCAACAGTAATAAATATCACTTGAAAGTTGGACTTAAAGGAAGAGCTAGCATTTGTCAATCAGCAGAGACTTTCAGGGGTCGTGACCTCTATCTGGGCCCAGTGTTGGGAGAAGCAGAGGGACAGGTGCAGGCTGATGATGTCAGAAACTTTTCTAAAACCTCCCCTTGATTCCCATGAAGCTGCTCAAGTGCACACATCTGCTCAAGTGCACAAATAAGAGGGAAAAATACGTCAAGGTTTTTGGACATTTAACCACAAGCATTAATCCAGGCAATATATAGAAGAACGTTTTACTCATGTATGACTTACTTTTAGCCAACCCTCAACCCACAGACTTCTGATTCAATCTTTAAAACCTTAAAAAAGGAGTGGTGTCATTTTTAATCTAAGAGAATAAAGTCTTGTGATTGTCATAGAATCAGTCAACATGTTTACAAGTTGTATACATCAATGTTTAAAGACTTAAATAAAGTTGTGACAAGGCGAACAATCTCAGTGATTCACAGTTACTGATGGGTTTAAATATCTTCATGTGTTGGTCCTGACAACTGTCCAAATATGATCGTCTTGATGTAAGATTTTATTAACCTGGAGAAATTCTTTGCTTCCTTCACCTTGATTTCAATTCATTAAAACTGTTAGCATTCACATCCTACAGTTCTAGTTTTAGTCTTTTTGATTACAAAATCAAACTTGTTTTAAAAAAAACTGCTGAGACTAGATTTTGTTTTGTATCTTTTTAGATAATTTACATGTTTAATGATGAAACAAGGCAATACTAGACATGACAAGTCATATTTAAGACACAATAGAGGACATATTGCACATAGACACACACAGCAGCATTAGATTAACAGTTACATGTGTGCATAACGGAAAAAAGCTGCATGAGCCCCCTTAACAAGAGCACTCAAGTTACAGAAGCTGTATATAGTAGATGAAGTTTTAAATCTCTAAATTATTGAATATATTCTGTATGTCATGCCATGATTAATAGACTTCTTTAGTTTATATCTTTTACTTTATAAATATTTCTTATCTGTCTGATGCTCCTCATTTCTTTTGAGCTTCGATGGCCTTCATCAGAGGGACCCAGCGAGACACACTGTGTCCTTTCGGTTTGACCTGACTCAGGCTAGGCCACATGCTGCCCCTGACGTTCACAGGGCCGTCGTGCTCGTCGGCCTCTGAGGTGATCTCCATCTTCTGGATGACGAGCTTCAGGAGGTCGTGCTGCTTCTCCATCATGCTTGACATCTCCTTCATCCTGAAGAGGAACATGTCAGACGTGGACTCGATATAAGCTTGAGTAGATTTGTAATCAGGTGTCTAAAGCGCTGAGTGCTTCCATGTGCTTATCATTGAGGGAATGACAGTGAGTCACAGGCCTTCTTTCTCTGTGACCACTAGGGGCCGCTGTTGCATCAAAAACTACGATTCAACTGTTAGATAAACCACAGTTTTGGATTCCTTATGTTTTGGATACTTAATGATTCCACAGAACAAAATAAAACTCACATGGGATCGACATGTTCACCCTCTTGTGCTTTACCTTTTCTTCTGCTTCACGAGCTCGTTCTGTATCACAGAGCAGCGCTGTGACTTGGCCTGCACACGACTCCACACTTCCTGTGTCTCTGCATCACCCATGAAAAGGTGAACAAAAAAGCGCTGGCAGAGAGAAAAGGAAGGAAATATTACTATAAAAAAGGACACATCGAATGTTTTACTAATAAACTATTATAGAAAATATGTCACCTACCTTGGAGCACTTGCGGTTTGGGTAGATGATCAGGGAGGGCTTGTCAACTCGTTTTAAAAACCAATAAGGCAGCTTGTCTTCCAGAGCAGTGTGGAGGTCGATCTGGGCTCAGATTTTCAGAGATACAGTCATGAATTATACTTTAAAGAACATTTTAAAGCCATCCAAATGTCTTGACTTACATTTTTAAATGCATCTGTCCCACCATTTACACTCAATATTCCAACTAATGTCTTTTGTATCATCACAAGATGTATTATCTGTTCAAATCTAAATACTACTAAAATTATATTTGGGGTTTTGTTACTTTGTTACTACTTTTAAAAAAGTGCTTTAGGACCAGAATCACTTTGTCTCCACATACCTGCATAGCTATTCTCTTTAGGGCTGCATTTCTTTGTACTTCAGCAATGTCTCCAACAGCTAAACCGATCTACAACACAACCAAACATACAAAGAACCATTATAACCATCACATTAAGTCATGCAGCTTTTGGAGATGCTGATGTCTTCAAGTAGTGGATTTAAAATGGCCGTAAATACTTACCATCAGGTTCACCAGTAGGATCGGCATGAGCAGAACAAAGTTCACGAAAATGAAGTAAGTCAGAAGGCCGAAAGGAAGCTGGTTCTTCAGAAAAGGTTCCAGGAAGTTGTTTTGGTAGTTCAGTTCCCCAACCATCATGACAAAGGTTTGCATCACTGAGAGCGGCACGCTGTCAAACTCTTTCTAAGGGTAGAAAAGGAAGCACATTTCATCTCTGTTTATTTCAAATGCGCCTGTGCTTTTTCTGAAGATCAGTATAACAACCCATAATAGTAAGACATGAATGGGTGTGATGCCAATGTTTAAACCAACCAAAACTTTGTCAATTTTCTTAAAGACAGTAGATCACTGTAGAACTGTGTGTGATCTTACTGTAAACAGAGTCCACCAAAATACAAAACATGTTGTGCATGTAACATAAGTCCAGAGCATGATACAATACCATACAGTATGATACTCTAGATATTCCAACTCCAATGCTGCATAGATTAAGCTTCAAAACAAGTGCTATGCTCTGCATGATTAGAAGATAGAGGAATAGACAGATAGATAGCGGTTAACCATTAAACTTGAGTGGTAAGAATCACTGGTGCCTAGTGGGCTGACTCAATAGGATTTAAACTCTAAGTGTTTTTAGGAATGTGCTCCCCGCCCCCTTTCCTACCCGGTTGAGCATCAGGGCATGGAAGGCCAGACCAAATGCTAACAGCAGGTACATAAAGAGCATTACAATACGCAGCAATGTCTTCATGATCTCCCCAAACATCACAACATAGATGCCAACGCCCTCAAATCTGGAGAAAACGGGAGATCAAAGCAGTTAGTGGTCTTCAACACTTTGAAGATACATGATGTTGAAAATAGTTTGTTGAAGTTAGATTGGAACGTACCTCTGGAGATAAAGGAGAAATCCGACCCAGGAGTTCAACACTGCCAGGGCTCCTGCTTGCCAGTGAAAAGAACCCTCTACATTGAGGATGACAGGAACGATGAAGAGGAGGGACAAGATGGCTGAAAACCAGTCATTGTGGTTGGAATAATCCTTGAAGTATTTCCATCGCTTTTGAATGATAAGAAAAGAAAAAAAAAACAGCTAAGTCACAAAACTCTTCGACAGACCAACTTTCTGCTACTTATAACCAAAACGACTGAAGGTTGGAGGTGACTTTCTGACTGTGGTCATTCGTGTGACATTTAAATCAGAGGTTGCTCCATCCATCACGCTTGATTGCTAAAGCGTCCACACGGACCTGCTGCTCAACAGATTTATTGGCATATGCTTCATCTGAGGTAACGACATGTGAGTTACCGTACCTGCTCCAATATCCGCACCACTTCCTTCACTAAGGCGTAGATGCTCATAACCACGACCATCACCATGCAGAGGGACAGGAGCAAGCTTTGCTGTGAAATGAAGACGAGTGAGATGTAGTTTATCTTCATAGATAACAACACTGAAAAATATTGTGTTTCTGTTCATGTAGTCTGCACAGCGGTGAACAGTTTCCGGCTCTGAACTTAAAAACAAACAGAGCTACAGAGCTTTTATAAAGATCTTCTCTGTCATTAGTACCTCAATGAAAGAAATGGGAACCATGACGATATCATGCTCGCCTGTATCTGTGGTGTTCAGGGTGGGCCTTAGATTTATGATCAGGTGAGTGAGGGGCAGCAGGCCTAACAGGTACATGAACATGTTGATCACATGAGCAATGCTCCCATATGCAACCCTGAGGATTCGAACAAAGAAAGAGACAGACCTGTTACATTTGAAGACCTTAAAGATACACATTCTAAATGATAAGTGATCTTTCTTGCAACATATCAGAAGAAGAAATCTCCTTTCAGGGGTTAAATCACATATACACGTACCATTTCATTGCTAGGTACTTCTTGCAGACAGGGTGGTTGAGGAGTTCAATGCGGTTGTATTGCACCATTGCCTGACGAAAGACAAACAGAAGAAATAGCCTGATGTTAACTGCACATTTTCTGCAGGCAGCCTGACAGCCGGAGCCTAAAAGATTTAAAAGTGAATACATCTTATTGATCTCCACGGGCATAATGTAGGTTGACATCAGCCGGCACAGAAATGCCATGAGGAGTTTCTAACAAATAATGGCAGATGAGGTTGTTTGTTTTGCTAACAAATAGAATAATTTAATGCAACTGTGTATTAAAAGAAGCTGCAAGCTACAAGTCATCTAATAAGACTCTGTAGACTCATGAAATTACATCTGTGAACATTTGCATGCAGAATGAATCTATTGTAAACTAACTGTTGTTATATTCAGGATAACAATGTGACAGGAATGATGAAAAGGTAAGCAATAAACCTGCCTATATGTGGCAGGGTTATTTCTTACTCCTGCTTCTCTTTAGCTGCAGGATGTGTCTAAGGGGTGGCCTGGAATGGCATGGACCCCTGAAATCTGATTGGACAATTTAGGAATTACCCTATTATCTAAAAGTGTGATTAGCTATTTGCCTAATGAGAGGTGGGACACAAGTTCAAACAAACCTTTTGGGGTGAGTTGTAACTGTAGCCTATATATGATGCCTTGAGTCAGGCTTTTTTTTTTCTCATCACTTTGCTTGTCTGGAGCCATAAGTGACCATATTTGTATGAAAGTGTGGAGCTCTCGGGGTTGGCAAATGACAAGTTGTCAAAGCTGGTATACATCAGTGGCTCATTCATTAGCTGGTGACAGAGCTAGTTTATGTTTGTGTTTCCCACAGAGTGAGATTCTTTTTATGGTGATTGACTACAGCTGTGTTTTTTTAAAATCCGACTGAAGAAGCTTAGCTTGTCCCTAGCTTGTCTACAAACCCCCCCAATTATGAAATGAAGAAAATCTTGTCCATCTTTTGTCTGCTCCACTTTTCAGAAGATGTGTGCTCAAACAGGCCGTTTGGTTATTTTTCCCTTCATGAC